GGGAGGGGTTCGAGTCCAAGTTCAGTTCCTGTGTTGCCTAGCCTCTTAATTCATTTTCATCTTTCTCAGCTATTTCCAGGTTGCTTTGCCTATGGACCACCTTGTTGTTCAGATACAATGCAATCTTGGGAGCAGTTCTGTCTGCAGAGTTTGGGATCAAGACTTTGACGGTGGAAATTGCAGAATTTCAGTTTCATATGATTTCAGTACTCCCTGATAATCAAAATCTTTTAAGTGTACGTGAACACTTGCTATAAGACTCTACATTTTTAATATAGATTTAAATATTTTTTTAATATTTAAAAATGGGGCCAAGAATTGGGAGAGTTTTAGTGTTCTGGCATGATTTTAGATTTTTGGTGCAAATGTCAATCGAGTTTAGCTTTTTTGTTTTGTTTTTACTGATTTGAGTGCATGAAGACATGTGGTACCTAAATTAGGGCAGCAGAGGAGTTGCCAATCAGTAACAAAGATGTTCTGTCATTTTAACTGTGTGGGTGCTTAATCATTTTCCATAATAATTCTCAGCTTTAAAGTACAAAAGAAAAGGGATTCCTACAGGGGCATTGTGCTCTTCTGCAGACGAAGAAATATGGCATCTTTTAAATAATGGAGAGATACTTCTCTCCTGGTGCCTTATTACTGAGTAGATAGATTATAATAACTATTCCTACTTAAATCCTGCTTTTCCTCTTTTGACCTCAGAACACTTTAAAAAGGGGATAGTGTCACAGAAACAGAAGCTGAGGCAAAAAATTGAAATGCCCCAACCAAGGTAACCCAGTGTGTCCACAGCGGAGCCAAGAATAATTCCTGTCTCCTGAGTCCCAGGCCAAGGCTCTACCTTCTAGGCTAGTGGTCCTCGATAGCCTTTTTTTTTTTAGTTAAGCCCACTGCTACTACTTCCCTCTCTCCTTGTTCTTCTTTCCCCCCTCACCACTGATTGCTGTTTCCTCATATGCACCCCTTCCTCATGCTTGCATAACCCTTTTCCAGACCCATCCTGTGTCCTTCTCATTTCCCACCTTTTGTGCTACTGCCACATCTTCTCCAGTCACCCACTTGCACTGACACCACCACCACAAAGCATGGTTCTTGCTGAGCTTATTTGCTTGGGCTCAAGCCATGTGTCTCCTGTTCGTTCTGGTGTGACTCACTGTCAACAGCCTCTGCGTAGGCTGTGTTGTCCCTGCTGAGCCCTTTGGGTCCAGAAGCTGTGCAGGTACCTTAGAGTGATATCTGAGTTAATACAACTGCAATACTTTGCCTTTTGCTGACTAAAGAATCTCTAACCTGTGCTCCGTGGGCAGTAGAGAAACCACTGGAAGCCTCGGAGCACATGCTCTTAATATCTGGTACCTGGAGATGTTTGGATGTATGTACTTGCATAAAGTTTTTTAAATGCTCAAGTGAATGCTGAGGGTTGAAAACCTGGCTTTGTCAGCCTAAACCAAGGAATATATCTTTCCATGGGGGTAGATGAATGTGCTTAGTTTTAAAGCATTTGCTTTGGCAGATAGGGAAAGTAAGTAAAGAGATGCAGTTCTGGATCCATTTTCTAACTTAAAGTTCAAATTGAGTTCACATACTGTTCTTGATTGCAAATAAGCATTTGTATTCCCCTAAGAGAAAAATGTTGCACCTACAGTCCTAGATGCAGAGGCTTTGGCTTCTGAACAGACAGGTGTTTTATGCCCAAACTCAAGTAAGTGAGCGACGTAAAAATAACCCGCATGATTTAAGCACATTTTCATGAAGTGAAGTTAATTTGTGTGTGAGCTCAGAGACCAAGTTGCTTCTAGGATATATATGGACAGCAGAGAGGTAGGCTGCCTTGTTTTGAAACTATGAAAAGGATATGCAAAGTGGCAGGGTAATAACTGCACTTGTTTTTTCTTCAGGGTATCTTTTTTGTAAGCAAGTGCTCAAGTTCCTGCCCTTGTCTTAGCCCTGCTTCCTCTCTTCTGTATTTCAGTCTGCTCATTTGTCCTACCAGCCATTTGTTTCAGTGATGTATTTTCTTTTTGGCCCTGAAACTTAAGGAGAAAGAAGGCAATTTATGTGAAAAATCACTTTATCCAGATTAATGACCACTGCACTTGACTGTTATCACAGCGATATTAGCTAGATTTTTTTTTGTTGGAGTGAGAGAACAGAAACCTTGCTGTTTGAAATTGTAGTTGTAGAGACACGTCAGGTTGGTCCAGAAAAATGAGTACCTTCATGCAGTCAGAGGACAAGGTATATGTGTAGAAGTTGTGGTTGAGGTGTGCTTTTAATGTTAGCAAGTAGTAAACCACTAATTGGCAGTGGGTTCAGATGAAGGACCAGCATTGGGTCCTATAGCTGGGGGTCCATTGCTGAAAGGTGAGTTTGCAGAGGAAGAAACCCAGATGTTCATTTCCAGCAGGAAACAGGCAGAGTGTAACTGAACTACGGAACGTGCTTCTGCTCTTAACTTATAGTGTTGTGAAGTCAGAAGTAGTCGGTGGCATTATTGCAAGCTGGAGGTCAGAATCTAGCCAGATGTATAGTTTTAATGCTTTAATCAAGATACATATCTCCTTTGGTGGGAGTGGGCAGGCTTGAAGGAATTAATGTTTTAATCATAATATCCCAGAAAAAGCTCCTTAAACGTAACGCAGCTGGGATGATGTGGTAGATTTCTCTTAGGATTCAGTGCAACAGCTCCGGAAATTTTCCAGTTGTCT